AGGAAGCAGATCCGACGCCCATCCTTGGTGGCGAAGAGCAACAAGAGGCTTTTTTGGGTCAAGGTGGGTAATTGTCGCGCCTGTTACGCGGCGATAAATCCGGAAAGAGCCCAGGAAGGGATAAATGGAAACAGGGGGATGGGTAAAGGTCTCCCCAGATCCAAATCCCGACTCCCAAGTGCCAGACGGATGGTGCCGGGCGCATCCGCCAGTGCACACCGGGACCGGGACCGGCACGGCAGGCTATGGGTGCACCGAGAGCTCGGAGGAGACCAGCAACGAGGGAAACCGTCACCTGCCCGGTGCCCGGGAGGCTGCGAGGGACGGCGGGGCTGGAGCATGTTGGCACAGCTTGGGAAGAAAGCCTTGGATTTGGGGTGTCCTGGTAGGGAATGAGACCTTCAGAGGACTCCGGTGACAGGTGGAATACTCCTCCTTTCCTGAAAGGGCTCCAACGCCTTTTGGCAACGAGTTTTGCCAAGATCACTCGTTTTTTCTTAAAAAATTAAGCCTTTACTGCTCCAAAACACTTGGAATGGGAATTTCTGGGCACAACTAAGCTCGAACTAATCAATTCACCCCGTGCGGGAGACGGACAGCAAGTGCCTCACCCCTTCCTCTGCACCCCGAAAGCTGCTCCACGCCTGACCACATCCCGAACTCAGACTGCATTTTCCATCCCTATAATCCCTACCAAAACCACTTGGTTGGATCCCAAAGGATCCCTCTGATGGCAAACCAGGGGAGCGGGTACTCCCAATTTCTTCGTTTTCCCTTGAGGGAGGTGAAAGACAGCTCCAACCGATTTTACGCACGGCAAACATCGCGCCCCAAAAAGGGGGGGGTGTCCCTAAAGGCCTTGTGGGAGCTGCCGGCGAGGCAGGACCCCCCCAACCACCACAGGGGAGGATGTTACGTACATCAATATACGCAGGTATAAACGTAGCCGAAGCCTCTCCGGGTCCAGCAGCACAGGAAAGGGAATAAACAAATTCCATGGATTAAAATCACAGCGAGGGAACAAGTCACCCACACGCTGGAGGATTCTGCCCGTTTGCCTTTCAAAAACCCACTTTACCAGCACAAATCCAGGCGGTGACGCTGGTCACCGCGAGATGCGGCCG